TATCTCCTCTAATCCAGTATTTCACGAAAGGACGAAGCACATAGAAGTGGATTGCCACTTTGTACGTGAGAAGGTGCTTAGTGGAGTGATAAGTACGGCATATGTGAACACAGGAAATCAATGGGCAGATCTGTTTACCAAAGGGTTGAATCGGGGAAGAGTGGACTACATATGTAACAAGTTGGGACTATATGACATATACTCACCAGCTTGAGGGGGAGTGTTAGAGTCGGTTGTACAAGGGTAGTACAGTCCCTTTATGTTTAGTTATATATGTATTGCTCTGCTGATGTGGCCCTCACTTAAGTAAGGGCACGATGGTAATCCTTGTATGTCTTAGAAGAGTATAAATAAAAGAAGGGCTGACTAGAGGTTTTGAGATTTTTCTCTCTAGTTCGACTGTGACTTTTCTCCTTTTTCTTCTCTTTCTCCTTCTCCTTCTCTCTCTCTTTTCCTTCTCTTTCTTCTGATCTGAACATATACGAACATCTAATCTGAGTTTTATCACTAACCTCCCTCAAGTTCCACCTAAATCTTTCCAGCTGCCACCATATTTTTTTTTAATCAATAACAGAACCAATTTCATTAAAAGAAGAAAATTAGTACCAGTGTTTAGAAAACCGGACCAATTCAACCGATCAGACCAGTTGAACCATGACTGGGCCCTAGCCAGTTCGGTCACACCCCAAGAACCGTAATGTCTAAAAATCCAATGAAAACCGACTAACCATCCAATTTAACCAGAAAACCGGTGAACCGGTCCCGGTTTCATGAAACCGCCTAGGTCACTAAGTAATTTAAATTCTAAAAAATGAGTGTGACAAGACTTGAATCCATGACCTCTTATTTTCATATATTACTTAATTACCACTGATCTGACAATTGGCGACCATGCAACTGACGACTAGCGACCATGCGACTGACGACTGGCAACCAACAGACGATGGCACTATGGCCGACGCCCGACGACAAGCAGCAAGGAGAGAAGGAGACTGGCATCATCAATAGTCCAACCCCTAGAGATGGCGAGGTTTCCAGAAGAAAGAGGAGAAACAGAAGGGAGGAGGAAACTCGACTCTACAAAGATGGCCAGAGGGGGGGAAGTAAGAACGAAGGCCAACAACAAATCCTTTTTCTAGAAGTGGAAGGGGTAATGTGAAGGAGAGATTGTCCTTCATGCTTGTCTGATGGGCATGTTCGACTAGAAGGGTTTGGAGGTAGAGGAAGTTTAGGCGTGGGCTTCTAAAGTGTGGTGATGCTCCTAAGGAGTCGATGTGAGAAGGCTGGATGGGGATTGATGGTTGTTCTTCCTATCCTCCAAGGAAGAAACCAAAAGAATCCTAAATACTAGCTTGGGGTGGAACATCTCCTAGTTGAAGGGGACTCTCAGGTGGTAACAAGGTGACTTCTAAACCCAGATGCTACCATTTGGGGCTACAAAGACCTCATCAAAAAAGTAAAGTGGTTAACCAGTAATATGAGAGTTGAGGTAAAATGGGTAAGCAGGTCAGCTAATACTATGGCTGATTCTTTCGCCAAACAGGGGGGTTTCCAAGGAGGATCTTTTTTGTGCTACAATGTAACTTGTTCTAGTATATTGGAAAGTTGTACTTAACTATTGGAGAAGTTGCATCTCATGCCTCTCCTTGGGGACATTGTACCATTTATCATTGCTGATTAATAAATTTCTTTCAAGTATCAAAAAAATTATCTTAAACTGCCCACATAGTTGACCCCATATGAATGATCCAAAAAGAAGATTTTTATAAGCTATGATTGGGAATAGCTTAATAGCCTGCTCCTGATCCAGCATAAACCAGATTCATGGTTTTGAAACTTCAACATGAAGAAAGTAGACTCTAGAACATGGTAGGAAGAAAATGAGTTACACATACATAAATAACATTAGGATTACAGGGTTGCTGCTACAGAGCAGAATAGTTAAGAGAAACACTAGGGTCACACCCCTATTACTACTGAGAAAGAAAAAGAAAAGTACTAAAGTTAACCTTACTTAAAGTAGAAGTCAACACATATACTAACAACACATACAAGTAGGCGAGAAGAAAAGGCATGCTCTATATATTATATACTAATGGTGCAAACCAAACACATTGACGATGACTTCAGTCTGAAGTCTGAACCCTACAAACAAAATATCAAACAAGGTTACATCAAACCACATGCATAATTGGTTTGCATTATGGCTTGGTTTTAAGGGAAAAAAAGGTTTGCAGCAAAACAGATTCCTTCAGCCTCTACACCAATATCAGAAATGCTAGGATCCTCAGAGGACCTAATGTAAGAATTCCAGCTCATGGCTCCAAAAATGAACTACACTGACCAAGGAAAGCTTCCTCTTTCCACAGAATATGAGTGTTTACCCCTACCAAAATAAGCACAAAGAGAGAAGAAGGGACTGAGTAGCAGCGACGAGAGACTATATGTTAAACTGAAAAGAACTTGAATAAAAAGGATAAAATATTTTTATAAATACCAAGCAAAGAGGATGACAAAAATATTATAGGAGAGAGAAGAAAATGGAAGGTTCAAAAGTACAAAAGGAAACAGCTCACCAACAATAGATGTTCAGCCATTAAAAGGGAGAAACTTAGCACACTGTCAAATTATACATTTGAAAGTTCATCTGCCCATGGAACCAGCAAAATCCCTACATGCATCATATTACCCATCTCTAACAATTTTCTAATTAATCTTGAAAAAAAAAAAGCTTTTTTAATAACAAAGTTTATATCAACAGTGAAGAGCTAGATTTGTTCTCTTTGAATTTAAAAAAAATACTAGTCAGGAAATTGAGGAGCTCTATGACATTTCCAATTAAGCAGTAGCCATCTAAGTCCAATTCAAGCATTATTCTTTAGGTTATGTCTAATTTACCCAATCACAATCCAAGCTGCGCTTTAGTGAGAGTGGCTAATTTCCTATGCTCTACATACATTTGTATTATTTTTTGTATCTTAATGCTATTTTTTTAATTTTTATTTATTGGTTTGTTATTATTTTTGTATTCTCCTCTTATAACAATTCTATAAACCACCCTTGTGTTTTGATCCTAATAAAAACCTCCCCTATAGTTTTGAAAAAAGTGCAAATATCTCCTTTCCATTAGCTTTTCAATAAAAAAAAAGACATTGAAGTTACCAAAATACCCTTGTCGTTGTTAAGGCATTGACGTCAAGGTATTTTAGTAAATTTACATCTGAATAAAGTTGGTTAAGGGTAAAGGTTAACGCATTAGTGCATTACATCAGCAATTTCCGTTTGGAAGGTTGGCGGAAGGTATTTGTACCTTCTCTCAAATCAACAGGAAAGGCTTTTTGTTAAGGTCAAAACACGAGGAGGTTCATAGGATTGTTAGAAAACCCAAGGAAGTTTCTATAATTTTCCCTATTTTAAATGGAATTTAAATTGATTTTAAATTAATTAAACTATGTCTGTTTTTATTAATCATTACTAACTTTAATTAATTACAGTAAGATTTTATTTTATAATGGAATTTAAGTTGGTTTTAAATTACTAGAAATTAATTATAAACTAAAAATTGTTAGATCATTTTGTATTAGTTTTATATTAATTTTAAATGGATATTAGTTTTTAAGTTATCTTACTACTTTTTATTAATTAATTTATTTTAGTATATTATAAAAATATTTTTATCAATAATAACAATTAATATGGTTAATTATTTTTATTTTATTTAAGTAAGCTACTAAATTATTTTTACTATGGTTAATTAATACTTATTATTTTCAAATGAAATATAAATGGATTATAATTTTTATGATGTTTTATTCAATGTTTTCAACCCATCATTGACTTGGATAATTGAACCATTCAAATCATAACTCGACCCTATTTATAATTCCAGGTTTCCTAAAACCCACTATTTTGTCAAAAACCGTTGATTTGATTAAAACCTGTTCAACCTAGGCAGTTGAACCATTGACTTTTTTGACTCAATCATTGGGTCACGAGTTACAATATACAATGTATTGAAAACTTCTAGAGGACTTAACTTTGTGTCAGCTGTCTGATGGGTTGATCTTTTTTTTTATTTTGGATAACTTTTCACAATCTTTGCAACCCCACTATACAAAAGAAAAACTCAATTTTTGGCCTCAAATTTCACTTTTTGGTCTTTTATTTATAAAAAATTAAAAACTAAAATAAAAAGTACAAATTAAAATTATTATATCACACGTAAAATGTAATTATATATATATATATATATAGATGGATAACATGTCACGAATCATGATTTGACTCATCCAATTCGCACAATTGAACCATTGACCTATTACCTAAAGGCAAAAACTATTCAGCCTCCAAGTCAATTTTTAAAGCACTGGTTTTATTTGTTGAGTGAAGTAAATAATATTTATTCTAAAAAGCAAATTACTTGATTAAATAACTTAAAAATTAACTATCTTTTCAATAGAAGTAGATTATTTAACCTAATAATATAATTAATCATTGAATATCTCCATTTCAAGATAATTAAATTTCTATTAATAATTATAATTTAATGTAAATATTATCTAATGTATCTAAAATTATAGCTAAATTGAAATGGATATAGATATAGATAAATTTAATGAATTTAATGAAGTAATGGAGAGGAAAGAGAATTAGTGGCATAAGTTATTAAAGGAGAATTAATGGCATAATTAATATTGACAGATAATTAAAGGAGCTATTTAGCTAATGAGAAAGAGGGGAGAGAGTTCATGAGGAGAGATAATGGTGAGTTAATGGTGATTGGCCACTTAAGTTATTTTGTTCAATTTTAAAATTAGAAAAATTCAAAAAAACAAAAAAAAAAAGATAAGTGCCTTTCAAAAACAACCTGAAAGCAGGAAAGTGCCAGCTTGGCACATTCCACTAATCCATTTTAATATATAGATATAGATCTCACTAACAGATTGAGAACATCCTAAACAATGATCTGCATCACCTTGTAGAAGAAATGAAACTGTTACCTGTAAATTATAAGCAACTGCTGTTGGTGACCAGCTTGAACCATTTGTTGAGCTAAATCATGCAGCAATGGCAGAATCCTTGGTGGAATGAGAGTTGGAGGCGTGTAAGATTCCAAGCCCTTGTTTTGGTGCTCATGATGATTGTTGGAAGAAGGGTTCTTCCAAGTAGAATCAGCCTGGTGGCCAGGTGATCCTGATCCTGATCCTGGTCGCAGTGAATTTGGAAGGCCTTCAAAAAGACGATCGGGTTCCACAGGTTTGCTGAAAACAGAAGTACAAACTGCTTATTTAAGGGCAACAGAAAAATGTACTCTGAAAACCTTCTTTATCAGTAAAAAAAAAAGAACTCTATTGAAGGAGAAGAAAATAAGACAACAAACAATTACATATTGCCAAAAATTGTATGGGAAGGGGCAAAATATGCCTCAAAACAAAACAATAAAAAACTAAGAATAGAAATGCATTTTCACTACAGACCACCCAGGATAAGCACTTCCCTATACAAATCACTTCTCCTAATCCCCCCCCCCATGGTAGACCTGTTCACGGGCCGGGCCGGGCCAGGTTCAGGCTGGGCTTTGCCTTTACATTAACAGAAAATGTTCAGGACCAAGCCCGAGCCCGGCCCGACCATTGGGCCTAGGTCTTGAGCCCAAGCCCGACCAGACTATAAAGCCTGAAGCCTGGCCCGAACCCAAGCCCGTCTAGAAATTTGGAAAAAAAAGATTTTTCCTTTTTAATTTGATTAAAAGTTGTTTTATTTATACTAAAATAACTCAAAACCTAAAAAAATAATGAAAAGTCTCATTATTACTTGAAAAAAGAGAAGAAAAATATATTATATATATGCTTTTTTATTATATAAAATATATTTTTATTAATATAATACATTATCAAGTCGGGCTCGGGCTCGGGCTGTGCTTTTTTGAGAAAGCCCGAGCCCACGGGCCTGAAATCTTGTCCAAGCCCGAGTTAGATCGGGCCGGCCCGTCAGGCTACCCAGCCCATGAACAGGTCTACTTGGCACGGTTACAGCCATCAAACCAGCCAATATTGGAATCCATCTGAACAATATGTTCTCTCTGTAAGTCAAAGCTCAGGCCTCCTAATGTGAAGACAAAAAAAATCCATGAATAATTAGATCCATCACATGCATTCACTAAATGAACAATTTGGGAATCACCCTTCACTTTGATACACCCAAAGCTCATGGAATACATAAGCCTGTGAACCTACAATGAAGCCATATCTCAACTCTGATAAGAGTCCTAATAACCAATCAGACTAGAGAGTATAATACTGGCCTCCCCCACCCCCAAATCCCTTTTTCTTTTGAAGAGTAAGAAAAAAGAAATTTTATTAATAAGAAAAAGGTTACAAATTAAGAGGTGACAAGATGGCACCTCGCCAATACAAACTGATCATATTACAATTCTGAAATTCAAGAACATTCCAAAAGTTCTCCCCCAAATCAGATCTGCTAATCTGTTCAAACTCAGGGAGCACCAGAACCCAATCTGAGACAAAATGTGCAACTAAAGCCACCAGCAACTCTATATATTTTTACTGTCTTCAAACAGTCTCCTGTTCCTCTCATTCCAAAGGGATACATCTCCAGACCATTTTCGCTTTTCCACTCACAATGATCTTTGGCCAGGAAGAGAACAGCTCAGCTGATGACCTTGGCTGGAAGGTACTTACTCCAAATAGGGCCGAGTAGAAATTCCATAAAAAAACTTGCAACCTTGCATGAGTAAAACAAACGGTGAACAGACTCTTCTTCTGAAAAGCAAAGATAACAATAGCTTGCCAGGTTGAAGCCCCTATTCTTTAAGTGGCCCAAAGTTAGGATGCTGTCCAAAGCTACCAACCATGCAAAAGTTTCCACTCTAGGTGGCACTGGGTTCCCCCAAACTGCTTTCACCTGATCTGAGACCAACTGATCTTTAACTAAAGCCATATATAAAGACTTTACTGTAAACTTTGCATTCCTAGATTCTTTCCACCATATAGAAAGACTTGAAGAAGCTGAAGCCTCTGATTGTTGTAACTTTTCCAGAAGCTGAATGCATACTTCCATTTCCTTATCCAGCAAGGGCCTTCTAAATTAGGGTTCCACACAACCTGTTCACCCCTTAAAACATTGATTAACCGGAATATGATGGTCTGTCAACCTGTATAATCTTGGGCACATCTCACACAATTTCCCTACCCCATACCACTCATCCTCCCAGAATCTTACCCTTGACCCATCACCCACCTTGAAGCTCACCAAATCTCTAAAATTCTGACTAAAGTGCATAATCCCTTTCCAGACACTTACCCATAGGAATTTAAAACCTCCCTCGACTCCCACCCAAACCTCATCACCCCATACTTCCCAACTACCACCCTTCTCCAAAGAGAATCCCTTTCCCTCTCTGACCCAAGCCTCCACAACCATTTACCCAAGAGAGCCTTGTTAAAAATTCTTATTCTCCTAAAACTAGTTCCTAAGTGTCCCCACCACCAAATCCCTGGACGTCCACCAGTTCCCAAGTGTCCAGGAAACACTAATGAAAATTAAGTTTGATAGCTCCAATATGAGTTAAGCAACCCTGCACAATGACCAGACTAGATAAGAACTAATGAGAACCTGTCAGCCTCTACCATGTAGGCCACAGGGGCACCCACTAGCTTTTCTGTCAAAAAATACAATGGATGATTAATCTGTCATCAATGTCACGGGGAAAAACTTTTGATGATTATCATTCTATGCTACAAAATGCGAGAGAGAGAGAGAGGGAGAGAGTCTGCAACCACATCAGAATGCTACAAAATATGAAAGTGGCCTTAATTTGGCAATTACAGTCAGAGTTTCAAATCCAAGAGAATAGGGATTTTATTTTAAGTTTCTGGGCACAGTTTATATCAAAATGAACCACATTCCTAATCCTGCATGCAAATTTGATAGTGATAAAATAGTTTTTTTTTTTTTTTTGAGAAGGTAAGGTAAAAATTTTATTGATAGAAGAGGCTACAGTACAACAGCAACCTAGTGGAAAAACACTAGGTGAGCAACCACATTTTTAAAAACATTCACATTTGATAGTGATAAAATAGATGACCACCTGAAATCACAACACTGCAGCAATTTTGTTTCTGCCACGATATTTAAGTAATATCTCAAGATAATCTTCCATCACCTATAAACGCGGCTCATAATATCAGCAAGACCTGCAAAATTTCTCCAAAAACTCCACTTTTCGCTGGGGGTGATACAAAATATTCCAAGAATCTTTTTTTTCTATTATTTCAAATACATTGCAAATATATCAGCAATGTTTCAAATTAGGTAAACTCTACATTTGATATTTAAGATTTTAAAATCTCATCAAAACTTTGTCAATGTTGTATTCAGAGAGATATTTTTGAAAGGTTTGTGTTTTCTTTTCTTTTTTGTATCTTGTTGTGCCTATGGAGTGCTATCTCATCACCCTCCTTAATTTGTACTTATTTAATGACACTTCACTTTGATTTATCATCCAGAGAAGGAAGCACACTATATGCAAGTTCCAGAACACAACTAGCATGTCAAGGATGAAGATATCCACTAAATGTCTAGAAATCACATATACATAGCATAAATAGGAGAAATTATCTATGCAATAACTCACCTGTAAGACACCAAAATCTGTTTAAATTCCTCTTCTAGCTTGAGAATAGCCTTAGCAAGCAAATTATTTGCATGGTTAAGCACTGCATCACTACTTTTAAAGCTTTTGTTGCTGCTGAAGAAATGAACATTACTTCTCAGTTGATCAACTGCTCCTAGATAATTTTCCAAGTCATCATGTGGTCCTTTCAGTATTTTAGCCTCTGCCTACATGTTGAAAGGATCTTTGACATCAGCATGCAAAAAGACAGGCATGTAACATGCAATGTAGTGGAATACTGGGTCATACCACAGTCTAGATGTACATACAATCAAAAAAGGAAAAGAAAGAAGATACAGAGGGAGAAATGGTAAGAAGAAGATTCTAATGGGAAAGAAGATTCAGATGGCTAACTATAAACATGTCAGTCCATTTCCAATGGGAAAGAAGATCTGCAAATGGGTTAGCAGACTCACTAGCTAAACAAGGGGTGCATAGGAATCAGATATTTTGGGATAAACTGTAATTCTTTGTTTTGATCTGAGGCTGCATCCCGTGCCTCTTTTTGGGAACCTTCTCAGTGTATCTTTTATATTTCTAATTCTTAATAAAATCACTCATTCATAATAAAAAAATCAAAAACCTCTAACTTTTACTAAGAGGCATAATTATACACTCAAAAATTACAAGAAACTTCAAATAGAGTATAAACAATATGAAAAACTGGCATCAAACCATTTTAGTCATCTTTTTGTCTAGTATTTGAGATTACATTTTCTTTTAATCAGAAAAACAGTTTTTTCTTTAACTTTTTCTAACATTCTACCATGTAACAAATCCAACTATCTGACAATGCACTGTGACCATACATGGGAATGCCTCCATATCTTCAAGTATGTAATACACTTTCCATAGGATTCGACAAGAAAAAGTAAAATCAGTTGCAGATTGCTAAATTAATTCAGTTTAGAATTTAAATACCATTAAGGTTAGAGAGCCCATATCCTAACAGAGTGGGCCCCTTAAATTTTTGTAAGGAATATATAGTCCCCCCACCCCTCTAAAAAATATTCCAGCTTTTCCCCTAAATACAATGAAATACAGTTTCAAAGACCGTCCGAACTTCTTAGTTGTCAATAAGCTGCTTCTTATAGAGAAGAAAAAAAGACCAGGTCATAAATGTGCAAATAAATCATGTCCTCCGCCGTTTAATGCAATTCTAATACTGAAAAGAAAGAAAAAGTAGTCCCCAAAACATCTACGTGCACAAAAAGCATGTCATTTATAGAATGTTCTGAAAGAACCCATATGCTCTGTGAGTTAGCTAACTGACATACTTACTGAATCAGACATCTTTTATTTTAACTTCTCAGTTAATCTGAATTCCAGGATCTACTTAACAAACTTCCATTTGAAAGAAAGAACTAAGTGGAATTGAACTAATCAACCAATCAAAAAAGAAAGTATAAAAACAGAAAAACCTGTCTTCCTCTCTTTCTTCTTCGTGACAGCATGGGTTGCTCAAAAGAGTGAAGCAAAAATTACAGCTCAACTCAACAACACACTATCCCTTCTATTTAGGTCAGCTACTTGAATTCTATTTCGCCAACAGTAGCAGTTTTATAATAATATCGACAGAAGCAAATTACTGAAATTAAAACCAGTCTTACAAATTCTCCAGAATTAAGAGAAAAAATGACCATCCTAACATAATTAAAATGGAAATCAGGTGGTTTTTCAATGAATTGAAGAATAAACAAATGCATAAGAAAATTAACATGAATCGAGAAGTAACGAACCTGGCGACAAAGATCAAACTGGGACAATATAACCTCCGCCGCCTTCAAAGTTTTATCGATGTTCTCGTGTGCTCTCCGAATTGAATGTGTCCTTATCTATAATCCGACACACAGAGATTAACACAAACGAGAGAGAGAGAGAGGTAGGTGAAAAACACCAAAAACAGAATCAAATCAGAAATGGATTCATGCCATCAGTTCAGCAATTTCCTGATCTTCTCTGCTCGCGGGATTAGTGATTCAGTGAAGAACACCAGGCCTAATGAAAATCATCAGAGGTGTCAAATCCAAGCTAGAAACATATCCATACCTGAGTGGGACGCATCGCAGTCTCTAGAGCAGAGAGACGGTGATCGAAGGAGCCGAGAATAGTGACCATGTTGTCTGTAATGGTCTGGCTCTTCTGGAGTGCCTCTCTCATGAAGGCCGCTCGTTCGCTAAGGGTTTCCATGGGCAGAGGAACTCCCATCTGATTTCTACCTTCTTCTTCTTCTTCTTCTTCTTCTTCTTCTTCTTCTTCTTCTTCTTCCTCTTCTTCTTCTTCTTCTTCTTCTTCTGGTATCAAGACTCCATTGCTTTGAGCCGATGAAAATAATTGTCCGAAATTTGCAGACCAGTTCGCCTGAAAAGTGAAAACTATTTTACTCACCTTAAAATAATATAAAAATAATAATAATTGAGACCAGCTGGTTTATGGACGAGTTGAACCGGGTAACTGGTCTGGGTACTGGGTAGAGATTCTGGATCTGCCACAAACAAACATGAGGACAGAGGATGAGGTATACAAATAGAAATAGGCTACGGAATACAATGACAAGAAGACATGTCATCTATCCATACAATTACAAGATTACAGAATCTGACGTGTTTAATCTTCATTGGCCTTTGTAGCCTATTATACACGTCTAGTTTGCAACTAACTGCTACGTACGGAATCTCAACAAAACGAGTTAAACCTGGTCCATCCACCGGTCTATCATATGCGTGTGAACCTGTTGTTGGTCTCGCTATTGGATGCGCATGGGTCAACCTTTTTGTACAAAGAAAATGAGAGGACAGCTATTCTTCGATTTTGACAAGCCGCCAGACGTTGTAGTACGGGAACATTTGGAATCGTTGGATTGAAATATTGTGGGACCCACTAAAAAGTTTATCCAGCTCGACAGTTGTGAGATGCGGGCGCTTCAACGAAAGTTGGTGTTGGTGGGCACGGGATCGGACTGAACGGGATCTGCTTCTCACACATGGGCGCTTCAGAGATTATGCATTGGGAATATTTTCCGTGAATAATAACTTATAAATACGATAGATGTTCCGAAGGTATGGTAGAATGTGCGTGTAAAGCGCGTATAAAGCGCCTTGTGTGAGGAGCAGATCCGATCTCGGGGTTGGGGGCATATATATATTTTTAACGGAAGAGCAGTTAAGGTTGCCAGCTATCAGCTTTCATACAACTAGAGATGGCGTGTCGTGTGGGGCCCTGGTTATGCGTTGCCGTTTAAGGCGGAGGAGAAACGGGAATGTCACGCTGGACGCTGCTCTTACTCCCATAACACTATTTGTAGGATTAAACTTATTTTTTTTTCGGTGTCGTAAGAGAAGTGACAACGAAATCGTAAGGATTGGGAGAATTACCGATCAGCCCAGATCAGAATTTTATAGCTCCAAAGTACAGGGGAATGTATGCTGACCGTGAATTAATGTTAAATTCACGGGCAAGATGTGGTTTATAGTGGGAAAGGGTTAATAAGGGGGGCTGGAAATTCTGCATCCTGTGTATCTGTATTTCTCCCTAAACTTATTTTGGTTCCTATCTCCCTTTGTATTTAAAAAACAAAAAACAAAAAATCAAAACAAACCTTATTTTTGTTCTGTGGAAAAAATGCCGCCCTATCAGTACCAACATTGATGTTTATTGTGCATAAAATCATTGCTTGGTTTCAATATTTATTAAATAAAATATAAAATACTAAAAAATATAGTTGGTATTTAGCATCGATGCCATTGCCTCATAGCCGTTTTCTTAGAAAACGGTGCTATATAGATGAAGGTCTGTTGCACTATTTTATGAGAAAATGGCTCCTTTTTGTTTGGCATTGATGCTGCCATATAGAATGTATTTTGGGGAAACGGCATTGTATTTGTTTGGTGACGATGCTTTATAATCATTTGGCCTGTAAATGGTATTCGAAATTTTGAATTCAAATTCGAGATCCGAATTAAACGGATCAAATTCAGATAATTTGAATTGAATGAACGATCGAATTCGAATATGCTTTTCATACTGATTAGTTAATCAAATAGAATTCAGATATAACATGATTCGATTTGACAAATATCCGATTCGATTACAATATTATAAATATGTAAATTATATATTTATTTAACAATATGTGCGGGGATGAATCATAAATATTGATTTCTTAAAAATAAATATATTAATATATCACTAGCGGAGGAGAATTGTGAAAGTAAGTTCAATAAAATGATAAAACAAAAACTATATGCTTAAAAAGGTGAGAAAAAAATGAGTAATTTCATTTGATGTAATTATAATAAGTCAATTAATTATGCTTAATAATTAATAAGTAAACACAAATAAATCATATAAATATGACTATATATTAATAATATAAAATTATATATAAATAAGATAGCACTTGCAACATTAAATTATATGTATCCATCTTTTAACAAAATGAGAGGGGGGAGTGTATTAAACCCTATACCCCAAATCTTAAAGCTATGTTTGGTTTGAAGGAAAGGGTAGGGAAAGGAAGGGAAACCTATACAAGGTTTATAAAGGTTTTCCTACCTTTCCCTGCATTTTCCTTCAAACCAAACATAGCCGCCCTCTCTCTCTTTTATGATTTCGGGTCCATAGAAAACCGTCTCTTTCCTTTTCTCTCCCCCCATTTTTTATATGTCTTAGAAATGTGTTAAAGTAACTAATTTAATTTAAATAATTATATTAATACTAATAAATTAATTAGTTAAATCAATTAATTAATCTAAGTTTAGTTGATTAAGTGATTTAATTAACTATTTATTTTAACTGAGTTGTATAAAATAATTACTTAATTAATGAATGAATTTTAATTGAGAGGGGGAGAGAAAGTGTACCTAAGAGAAGAGGAGGTAGAGAGTGTGTAGAGTACTGATGGTTGATGCTTGGGCTGAGAAAGAAAGAGAAGATGTCTATGGTCTGAAAAGTATTAAATATGAAAAAAAAATGACAAGTTGGGAGTTTATTTGTAATAAAAATCAAACGATAATATTATAATCAACATTGCATAATTTAATTAGCAAATATAATCTAATGGCAACATCTCAGAGAGCACTCCTCACAGCCACATCCTACACTGTATTAGGAACATGCTGTGAGGTCGTGAGGAGCAAGTGTGGACTTGTACAGTTGCACTCCAGATATTTATCAAACTACTTATGAAAGAAAATGTGCAAATCTATAGCATCTTTGGCAGACAAGAGCAGTAATTAAAACCAAGTGAGAATAAATCATGAAAAATCTATTTAAGAGAAAAAGAAACTCATCATGACATTTTTTCATCACTAAATGATTTTTATTTACCATGGTCAAAGATTATCCAGTAGGCCTCCGGCATTATTCCAACGCCAAATGTACACCTATGTACTCTCTAGTTCTTGATTGCATGGTTGCTGGTGCTGGTTAAGATGAAGAACTTGAACATATTGCTGCAAGACCAGAACAGATTTGATGTACTGAAACCAAGAACTTGAACATATTGCTGCGTGCGAGAGAGGGCAATAGGAGGGAAGAATGTTAAAACTACACCTTTCCCGAGGAGTTGTATGAGGGTAAGACTGTAGTTCCTCATCATGCCAAGTCATTCGGTTTCAATATCTGATGCTTAAATCCTTTGAAATTGACAAATTATTATGCTCAGCATTATTGTACTTAACAGAGAATATCTATCCCATCCTTGAATGCTGCATCAGAAAATCATTAAAATCTCTTTAGTACAACATTTCTTCCCCACCCAAGTTAAATGATCATATCCTTATTCAAGCACTTCTTTGAGTAAAAGGAAGAAAAAAGAATTTTATTATACTAAATGACAGCGTAAGTTTTTGCAATATGTCAAAAAATTTTGCAATATAACATGCAACAATCATCCTCACTTAATTTACCTACATGGATGGATTAAAGCTATAATGCAAACCATCAGATTTTACGGCAGGCCCAATACAGATTTCTGAATTTCATTGTAGAGCTATAAACATTCAAAGTGCCCAAACAATTAAAGGTATAATCCAAAACTATAGAGCACACACTAAAAAATCGTTCTATCATTGTTGCTCCTTGGAAGCAAAACCATCCCAAAAAAAAATTCTATTTTTCACTTTTTTATTGTAATTGACCATTTAAAAATTGAATCAACATCCAAGATCACGATTTATGCTGCAAGAAAGAAAGAACTTATGACAAGGGACCCACGTCCACGTATACACTGCCTACAAACATTGAACCCTGAATTTGGCCCCCATTTATTTCCATTCATATTTAAGTCTACAACTTAGGTGGAATCCACCTATATAATAGGCTTTTTGCCAAAAAATTCTCTGAAATTATAGGGTAATTACATACTATTTTATAGCAAATTAGCAATCAACAAATCCAGAAAAAATTAAAAAAGAAATCTTATGTTTTGATAAATAAAATTAAATAATAAACATTAAAATATATGAAAACATTTAATTATATAAAATGAGTCATGATTAAACAAGCATATCAAACTAAATGTTCACTAAATAAGTGATAAAGAAATTAGGTGGCAATTTCTAACCCAACACTTACACCTGGAAACTACTCAAAATGTCGAACCCATCCATTTAAATTGCCAATTGACAAATACAAAGGGTTGGCTTAGGTTTGGTCACGGTATTCTTTCTTTATTCTTCCTATCCACTCCTCATTTTTTTCTCTCTACCTTTCCTCCTCCACATTCACATGTAACGAATTAAAACTTCCCTTCCCTATCGCTCTCCCTCCCCTCCCTCCACAAACAAGGACACCCATAACATATAAGTTTAAAATAACTATTTAAAAACTAAAAGTTTATATGTGCACACCAAGAACCAAGGATTTAATGGGAAAAGTAGGGCTAAGGTCAGTAGTATTCTAGCTGCTAAATTTATATAAGACCAAAACTCTATGGTCCTGCATAGTTTACTAAATTAACTTTAGAATTAAATAAAAAACAAAACATTACCTAAACTGTTTTTTTTCCTAACCACATAATTGGTCCAAGAGAACTTTTTTGTCTAAGGGTTTTCACCAATCACATATTTCATGGAAGTGTAAGTGGTCAAACAATATTTAGTTTAAGAAGGTAAACAAGAGAAATGATTAGATAATATGGCAGCTGATAAGGGTGACATATCTTCCAATTAGTGGTTGTACATTTACAGTCTATTTGGTTTGTGCGATTGGGATGAGAAAATAGGAATATTCGCTTAAGATTCCTATTTCTCACATTTGTTTTGGGCGAAAGAGTGTGTTTTCACGGTAGACTCCTGGCAGTTGGTCAATCTCCGAAGGTCCTGAGATGGCAACAGGGATGAGAGAGGAGGTGGAGAAGAGAGGAGAGAGGGGAGAGTCCCTTTGTGAGAAACCCTAGGTCCAGGTTGTATATGTCTCTCTGGGGAAGAATTGCTCTCCCTCTTTTATAGAGAGAGTTAAGACTATCAAGGAAGGAGTTCTTTTTTGTTAAGAAAGAGGATCTTTCCAGTTAGGGAAGGAGATCTTATTAAAGGATCATTATGAGAGAATCCCATCACCTCTAGATTCTCTCCGTATGTGACACTGTTATACTGACGTGGCATAGGTGACGTCATCATTTGGCGGCCGTACTTTTATTGAACCCACATGCGTAATTTAAAGGCGAACATGTATTCGACATTTATTCCCGATATATCATGATTCTGTGGTTCTATAATGGTGTCGTGTTCGTTGCAAGCCTACATGTGTCTTAGCTTTAGCGCAGATTCGTGCTAGCCGAAGTTCATTGCGGCTTGTCCCAGGTATGAGTTTATCGCAATCGTGAATCTTGTGATGAACTCATCGCAATCATGTGATGGGTTCTGGGTTCATTACAGGCGTCCATATAGTGTTGGTTTGACACCTTCTGTACTCTGATGGTCTTAGTGACCACCATGTACGTACAGAGTGAGATGCAAGGAGAAATCACTTCTCAAAATTTGGGAT